GCGTTCTCGGGCGCCAACAGCCGTTCGCAGCGGGCAGCCCCTTGTCCTCACGGTGATCTGTGCCGCGGTGTTACCCCGCATGACGGCCTGGGGCGCGTGCGACGCCCTCCTGCCCGTTTCTGGGTGCTGCGGAGCATGGCTTAATGGTTCAATAAACGCGCTTTCTTTCCGGGGGGCGGGGTGGGGGGCGCGGGAGGTGGTGTTCAAATTCTCTGCAAGAGGAATCTCAGATGTATGGAGAAATGTGTTTCTTCTAGCGTGCCGGTTAGGTTAAGCCATAATCCTGCTATTGAGAATCCTACCAGGTAAAGTTGTGGACACCGTAAAAAAAAAAATCCATTGGTATAAATTGAACGGTCACGTTTACTATTTGAGTCACGCCCTTCTTCCAACATATTGCAAAACACAAGAACACTCGTAAGAAAGTGACCTCGGTCTACTCCAGGGAGGCCAGAGAGAGACGCCGGTGGCCCCCCTTTCAGCGGGCACTTGGGGGGTGCAGCTGGAAGGAGGGTGCAGCCAGAAGGAGTGTTCGCTCACTGCCCGAGCCCTGACAGGGAGGGTACCTGCACCCGGGTCCAGGCCTCTGAGGACACTCAGTAGCTGGAAAAATAGCAATGCGCGCTTGACAGCTAAGTCCAATCTTCAAAGCACTGCTTTGTATCTGCTGCTTGGGAAGATTCAAGTGTCAACTCAATGTTCCTTCTCTCCCCCCAGGGAATTAGTAGTGTTTTAAAAAACATTTTCTTTAAATTGATTTTAGACAGCGAGGAAGGGAGAGAAAGAAACATTGATTAGTCGTTCCACTTATTTATGCATTCCCTGGTGGATTCTCGGATGCGCCCTGACTGGGTGTCAAACCCACAACCTTGGCACATTGGGATAGCACGCTAACCCACTGAGTTACTGTGCCAGGCCTCCTAGTGATGTTTAAACGTTAATTCTGATTACAATGGTTATTACACATATTATAACCTAACCACTTTAGGTTACTCAAAGTAACACAGAATCGGCATCTTCTGATTTCTTAAAATTTATACTTAAAATGTTCTTATCGATTTTAGAGAGAAAGGGGAGGGGGAGAAACATCAACATGGATATGGGCTGCCTCCTGTACACCCCCGAATGGGGACTGGGCCTGCAACCTGGACATGTGCCCTGAGCAACAGCTTGGTGCGTGGGTCAGTGCTCATCCACTGAGCCACCCCCGCTGGGCATCTGTTTGTAGTTTTTTAGTTGTCTTTTGAGGAAACCTCAGTTACTCAGGGTATAACCCAATATTTAAAAAATTTCAGTAAGATATTTGAGTTTTTATATTTTTTAAATTGATTTTTAGAGAGACAGGCAGAGAGAGAAACATCAGTGTGAGAGTGAAACATCCATCATCAGTGGGTTGCCTCCTGCACGCTCCGTATCTTGGTCATCTGGGCGAGGACCAACCACCTGAGCCACACTGGCCAGGGAGATATTTGAGTTTTCAGAATTGTGCTGATCCCAAGTTAAAGTTAGAATAGGTGTTTGGGCATCGGTATTTACAAAATGATTGTGTCAACTTTCTTTGTTTTTACTTTGTCTCTGATGATGTAAGTGAATTGATCAGCTAAGTTTTGTGCTCTCTAAAAACTGCACAGAATTTCACCACTGGCTAAAGTCTGCTTTTTTTCTGTGTGCTGTATGTCATTACATATAAAATGATAATCTGTAAATCTGGGTGTTTGTAGGTCTAAACTCGACTATGTTTAATTTTTAAATGCAAATATACTCAAGTTTTCCCTTATCTAGCTTTCTTTAACACTTTTAGAAAACTTTTTTTTTTTTTTTTTTTTGGTTGGGAGTGTGAGCTGGTAACATGCCTTAATTTTGCTTAGGGACAGAATAGGATGGAAGGAGTCATTGTGCAGGTAGAGAAGGCAGCAGGAAAAGCCTTTAAAAAGAATTAAAATTGGCTAAGACAGAGAAAAGAAAGAAGCAGGATCATAACTATCTTTGTTTTTCTAATACAGTAGAGTCTTGCTAGCCGTTTTACATCCACGGCCTTGTTCATTTAAGTAGATGATGTCACTTAGCAATTGACGTGGGAGAAGAACCTGTTTGATTTTTAGAGTAATTTTTTTTTTTGCCTATCACATCGTTAAACTAGTTTCTGATTAAGGAGAATAAAAGTAATAGATCGGGAAAGGTAAGGATTTAACAGATTTCCGGGGAGAACCTGGGGCTAGAGCAGGGGTGGGCAAACTTTTTGACTCGAGGGCCACAATGGTTTCTTAAACTGGACCGGAGGGCCGGAACAAAAGCATGGATGGAGTGTTTGTGTAAACTAATATAAATTCAAAGTAAACATCATTACGTAAAAGGGTACGGTCTTTTTCTTTTTTAGTTTTATTCATTTCAAACGGGCCGGATCCGGCCTGCGGGCCGTAGTTTGCCCACTGCTGGGCTAGAGGCACAAAGACTGCCTAGCTTTGAGGACATACCAGAGAAGCTGTCAGATTTTCCTATGTCTTCATATAGTGGTAGCCAGACAATGCCGATTTTCCTTATAATGGTTGTATGAAAAGGAATTTTAATTTAAATGAGTTGCCCCAGAAACAAAAAGATGACCAATCTTCTAGTATCAATGCTACTAAGTTATACACTATGTATGTGATTCCTTTTTCTAGGTCGTTTGCATATCTTACAATTAAAGACAGAATACCACAGATCTTAACCAAGGCTATTGATACATTGCATCGACATAAAAATGAAATGTTTGAGAAACATGGAGAGGTATGAAATGTATTTGAACTTTAATTATTTTCTTAAATCTTTAACAAACATACTAAGCTGTTTCCCCTCTTTGATAATGGCCATTCCACTTGCAGGTAATGAAGGGACTCTAGTTATTAGATGAAACTTAAAAAAAAAAACAACCTGGCAGAATAGATAAAGCAGGATAATGTTGATATGAGATCTGTGTGTGTGATTTGATTTTCAACTTAATTCTAAATTTAAATGTTTGTAATAGTTTGTGAACACATAAGATGTAGTGTTGTAATATAGTATTTCTTTCCTTCTTAAGTTTAGGCCCATAAAAATGCGCTACCCTAGAGGAAGTATTTATGTATAGATATTTAAATATAAAGTATATGTAAAATTTAATTATTTATATATAGATTATATATTTTTTAATATGTGTAAATGTTTCTTCCCTATTTCTGTAGAAAGGCATAGAAGCTGAAAAGAAAGCAATTTCTCTTCTTTCTAAATTGCGGAATGAATCACAGACAGACAAACCAATTGTCCCCTTGGTTGAGAAGTTTGCTGATACTGACATATGGAATCAGTACCTAGAACATCAACAGGATCTTTTAAATGACAGTGATGGAAAACCAAGGTGGTTCTACTCACCATGGCTGTTTGTAGAATGCTACATGTATCGTAGAATTCATGAAGCAGTTATCCAGAGGTAAATATATAACCATCAAATAAACGTTCAGATAATTTATGCTTTTTTTGAAATTATAAAATGATAAGTTTGAAAATAAAAACCAGTGGAAACATGAATTTAGTTCAACAGCTATTAATGGCACTGCTGGACATGCTGCAGATGTTATCACTATAATAGATTCTTGGCAATTATAATTCACGTGCCCGGAGTAGACATAGATTGAATATCTGAAGTAGGAACTAATTAAAAATTCTTATAAAAACTTATTTTTCTTCATGAGAAAACAAATTATACTTACTGAGGAAAAAGATGTTAATTTGAAATTATTATAAAAAAGGGCAAAGTAAACATTTGCTTTATTTATAAAACTAGATTGTATGTCAGTTAATTTGGTATAAGGAATCAATAGCACAGAGAAAATAGAAGGCATGTTAAAGCTTTTATGAAAGTGTAATATACCTACAGACCAGTGCACATATCTTAACTGTTCAGCAACTTTACCAGAACATGCTTGCGTCCCTAGTGTCCAGATCAAGAGGCAGACCCGTCCTAGGACTCCAGGAGCCCCCATGCATCCCCTTCCGTTCACTGCCATCACGGCCCCTCCAGGAGAACCACTGCCTTGATCTGTTAGTTTTGCCTGTTTTAAAATTTCATTCCAATGAAATTACATGGGATGTATTTTGGTATCTGATTTCTTTCATTCAGCATTATGTTGCTGAGATTCATCCCTACTGTTTGCATATAATTGTAAATAACTCATTTCTATATAGTATTGCAATATATGAGTATATCACAATCTTTTTAGCTCTTCTATTGTTGATAGGTATTTGAATAGTTTTTATTTTGCGGTTATTATAAAGAGTGCTGCTTTAGAGGGAAGGCGAGGGAGGGTGGGTAGGTGGGAAGAGATCAACCAAAGAACTTGTGTGCATATATGCATAACCCATGGCCACAGACAATAGGGTGCTGAAGGCCTGGCATGGTGTGTGGGGGTGGACTAGGGGGTGGGAGGGTAGGCTAGAAGGGGTCAATGGGGCAAATAAGGAAACATGTAATACTTTCAACAATAAAGATTTAATTTAAAAAAAAGAGTGCTGCTATAAACATTCAAATGCATGTTTTGGTGAACATACAGGTGTATTTTTGTTGGAGATGTACCTAGGAGTGAATCACCAGGTCATAGTGTATGCACATAAGCAGCTTTAGTAGATTCTAAAATAGCAAACATTTAAAAATCAGAAATCATACATAGTGATGTGAGTTTACTCTCTTAAATACAAGAAATAAAGCTCATTCTTAATATGAGGTGTGACTTTAAATTAATGAACAATTTGTTAATAAAAAACTAGAACAGCCCAGCTGGTGTGGCTCAGCGGTTGAGATCGATTGAGGGCTCCGTCCCCACTAGGGGGCGTGCAGGAGACAGCCAATCGATGTTTCTCATGGATGTTTCTGTTTCTCTATCCCTCTCCCTTCCTGTCTCTCTAGAATCAATAAAAAACATATTAAAAAAAAACCAAAACACTGGAACAAAGGTTGGGAAAGTTTTTTTGGTAAAAGGCCAGATAGTAAATATTTCAGGCTGTGGGGCCACATGGTCTGTGTCGAAGCTACTCAGCCCTGTCGCTGCAGTGCAAAAGCAGCTCTGGACGCCACATAAAAGAATGAGCATGGCTGTGTTCCAGCTAAACTTCATTTATGGGCACTGGCATTGTAATTTCATGTATCACAAAATATTCTTTTGATTGTTTCCAACCATTCAAAAATGTAAAACCATTCTAAGCTTGCAGGTCAGACACAACAGGTGGTGGGCTAGATTGGGTCTGCAAGCTGTAATTTGCTGACCCCAACACTGGAGCATATGTATCCAGCCAGTTTTTATTTTTTAAGTCGCCTGGAGAGACGGATTTATTTCAGCAGTGCTGCCATTGCTAAAAACACCTTTTCATTCTTTGGAATTTCTTCCAGAGCCAGTTTACAAGCCTCAAAATGAATGTCTCATTATTTTTTAGTCACTCCTCATTTTTGACCAAAAATGTTTTACTCCATTTGATTTGATTCTACTGATAATGCTCTGAGTGACGTTTGGCTGTCTCCAAAAAGAAATTAACTCCAAAGGGTGAAGATAAGTGATCACCGACAGGACGGTTAACCATGTGCCTCAGGTTCTGAAGAACATTTCGAAAGTGCTTTGAGCAATGGCAGCATCTTTGGAATAAGGGTGCACTCCCAAGGTGGCTGGTGCTGGAAGGAGCCAGCACTCATTTGGATTATACAGCCTGGTATGTTTTGTTTTTTTTAAAATATATTTTATTGATTTTTTACAGAGAGGAAAGGAGAGGGATAGAGAGTTAAAAACATTGATCAGCTGCCTCCTGCACACCCCCCACTGGGCATGTGCCTGCAACCAAGGTACATGCCCCTGTCCGGAATTGAACCTGGGACCCCCCAGTCCGCAGGCCGACGCTCTATCCACTGAGCCAAACCGGTTAGGGCAAGTCTGATATGTTTTTGTTTTTAAATCAATCCCATAACCGAGTCATATTGTTTTCACCCTAAGGTAGCTACATGAGTAGATCTAAATGTACCCTAATTTAGAAGATCAGATCATCTGAATGTCTTCACAGTTGATTCTGTTTAGGCCGTTCAGTTAGTATTTATACCTTCTTAGTTATGCATTTGTAGGGCAAAATTAATATCATTTGATCTCATTGGACAGCATGTGGATATAGCACATCATGGCACATATATCACCATTGGTCACAGTCAACTTGGGAGTAAAAGTTAACAAAAAAAACAAACACCCAAACTAAAAATCTACACATAAATGATCAAAATATGTCATTATCATAAAACTTACATTAGTATGATCTGATTTATCTCAAGTAGTCATTGTGTTCCCATAATGCTTCTATGTTCGAATCTTAGTGTTTACTACATTATATTCAGATATTCTGTTTCTATCCATATGCTTGTTATTTGGAATCCAGTCACTTGAGCACCCAGAAAATGTTTGTTAAACTGAAGCAGTTGTCTTAAAATTTTATTTCTCTTTCTCCTTTTGCCCTGGAAACGGGGTAAATAATTATGAATATGGTCACTAATTATTTAATACTTCCAGGGCACTTTTGGCAGTTAATTAAAATGAGTTTGGGGGATTTTGTGTACTTTGATTATCATTTTTGTGTAACTTGACCTATGTTATATATAGTGTGTTACCTGTCATTTAAAAAAAATATATATATATTATTGATTTCAGAGAGGAAGGGAGAGGGAGAGAGAGAATCATCGATCCGCTGCCTCCTGTACCCCCTCTCCCCCCACCGGGGATTGAGCCTGCAACCTGGGCATGTGCCCTGACCGGGAATTGAACCTGAGACTTTTTGGTGCGTGGGACGACACTCAGCCACTGAGCCACTCCGGCTGGGCAGTTATCTGTCATTTTTGAGACCAAATGCTACTATTCTCTTTCCTTTAAAGAATGCAATTACTCAAACATATGGGAAGAAGATGCAGAGTTATATAAATGTTTCATTTATGTTTTTCTTTCACTTTAGCCCACCAATTGATGACTTTGATGTATTTAAAGAATCGAAAGAACAAAACTTCTTCGAGTCGCAGGAATCCATCATGGCTTTATGTATTCACCTGCGAGAGCTGATGCAAATAATTGAGCACCTGGATGAAAATCAGTTGAAAAATGAGTTTTTTAAACTTCTTCAGGTAAATGTGATCATTCATCTCCTGAGTATATTTGTTGAGTTAAATAGTTAAAAAACAGACTGGTACACATTTAACAACAAAGCCCGGATATACATTCTCATTTTAGTTATCATTGATCGTTTATCATTTTAGTAGTAGTGTTATTCAAGAGATGACAATCCATTTAAGCTCTGAAAATGGGTTTTGCAATCTCTTCTACTGCACCTGCGGGTGATGTTTGTGGCTTTTTGTAGGTTCTGTCATTCTTGAGAGAATACTTCACAGTCATTTGGTCGGCCCAGCCTGACTTGGGCTTCAGTGTCTGCTTTGTCGCTTATTTGTGATTGGACCTGAGCAAGTTACTTAATTTCTCTGGCCTGTAGTTTCTGTGTCTGTTCAATGACGGTGGTATTGAACACCTCATAATTTGATGTGAGGAACGATTCATTCACGTGAGTACTGCGCAGAGTCTGGAACACAGAATGTGCTGTCGTCATCATCAGGTAGAAACTGTCCTATTTAATACAGTCTCATTACACTTCATCAAGCTTGTATAAGTTTAGTTTTAAATTCTCATTCAAGACATCCTTACATTTATATACTAGGTTCGGAGCGGTTTGAAAATGTGTAGTTGTATGCAGTAGTTCTCCAGCCCTGACTGCCTAGGAAAAGTTAGAAACATTTCCAGAAGGAGATGTCAGAAAATGTTATGAAGAGAAATAACGCAGGGAAGGGGCCCAGGAGTGTTGGGGAAGGGAGGCCATATTGTGTCAGGAAGGACCTGCTGAGACCGTGCCCTGGGGGAAGGCCTGAAGCGGGTGAAGCAGCAGATCACAGGCATGTCTGGGGTGGAGCCTGTCAGGTGTGAGAACCCCAGAGGGGATTCTGTAGGAAATGAGAGAGGTAAGAGGAGGGGCTGGAAGGGCCACAGAAGGCAGATTTGATTCCTAGAACGAAATGGGAAGCTATTAGAGGGTTTGGATCAGAGGAGTAACATTAAATGACTTATTTCAAGGATTACTTCTGAAAACAGACCAAAGGGGCTCAGGGTAGAACCTGGGAGATCTGTTATTAAAATGACTCAGGTCCAAGTTGGTAGCATCAGAGGTGTTAAATCTCTCAAGATTCTGAATATACTTGGAAAGTAGAGGCTCCAGACAGGTTGTGGGATGTGGAACTTGTAGGGCGAGCGGAGCAAGCTGAGTGATGAAGAGGGAAAGGTCAGGGTATTGTTAACTAGTAAACCCAATTATCTTGTCTCCTCCTTTATGCTTAGCTTAGAATTAAGAGAAGAAAAGCAGCACGTTACTTATTATCTATAGCTCGGTCATTCTTTCACAGCCTTTGAATATAATACGTTTTTCGTCCCATAAGTATAATAAGTTGTGAGAAGAAGGAGTACCAATCTGCTTTCTGTCACCTGCTTCGGCCACTACCCAAAATTGCTTCTCTGCTCCCCAAAGCTGCCCCCGTCACTGTTCGTGAGCACCAGCAGATCCCATAAGTATAATAAGTTGTGAGAAGGAGGAGTACCAATCTGTTTTCTGTCACCTGCTTCGGCTGCTACCCAAAATTGCTGCTCTGCTCCCCAGTAAAGGAGCCAAAGCTGCCCCCGTCACTGTTCGTGAGCACCAGCAGGTTAATTTCCTGCAAGGAGCTCCCAGCTGTTCTGGTCTGTGGGAATATTGATCTGTTCTTAAAACCATAAAACTCCACCCCTGCCCACACAAACATTGCAGTGTCTACTCTATCAAACATTGTTCTCGATGGCAGGCATGTAATGGTGAGAAAACAGACCAATCCTTGCTGGCATAGAACTTGTAGTCTTGAGGGAATTTAGACAATCAAATAAGGGCACAAATCAATGTAGACTTATTCACAGACTGGAAATATGCAGGAGGCCAACAGAGACCCTGACCTCAGCTGGGGAGGGCCACCATCTACAACAGTGCATGTTTCTTTATCAGAGTTGGACTTACACCTAAAAAAATATATGTGTGTAGGTATGTGTGTGTGTATACATTTAATCCTTTAAAAATAGTATTCTTGGTTGGAACATGCATTTTCCTCTTATTTTGAATCATACAAAAGTAGAATCTGTTTTGGCTAATATTTATTGAGTACTTCTATGTGCCAGCTATTGGATACATTGCTTACACCCGTTATGTCAATTCTAGCAATAACTCTATGAGGTAAATGCTCTTTTATAAAAGTAGAATCTGTTTTGGCTACTATTTATTGAGTACTTCTATATGCTAGCTATTGGATACATTACTTACACCCGTTATATCAATTCTCGCAATAACTCTATGAGGTAAATACTATTTTTATCTCATTTTTCAGTTGCATAAGCTGAGCCTTG